CATAAAGATAAACTGTAACCTTAATCTTAACCCTACCCTTAGCCTTACAATTGACAAGAACTCATACCTTAACCCTTAACATACTTCTGAGCATAACATTAAACCTAATCCTAAAATTGACCCTAAACCTCATCCCCCAGGATTTGGCGCAAAGCCACGTGTATAGTGAGCGGTTAATATTTTCGTGGCCCCGTGTAGGTGAACATATAAGTAGTCTTTACAGAACTGACAGGTGTTGATTGATTGCAGTGAAACCGGTAAAGCAATGGTGAGGGCCAAGGGGAACACGATCAGGTCCCCCTCAATATCATCTATTCATATTTATGGCACCAACACAAGGAAAATGGAAAACTCAATCGATGTATCAACGACAGCATTTGGATGCAGCACGCATACTGATATCCATTGCCAACTACATAGCTAGGCTTTCTACTGCAATTTCACCCCTTGACTTGTCCAATGTTCTCCTAGGCCGCTTGCGCTCGCAGCTAGTAGTAGTGTCGAGGATAACAGTTATAGTCTCACATATCCACCATCAGTGCACTACACGGAATACCAGAGCCACCAGCGTGAACGCAGGCAGACGCCGTCTGGACGCATATGACAGTGGTCACCGGTGCCGAATCTGTGAGCCTGTCGCAGCTATGACGGTGCATTATTAGCATAATAATCACGTGACGGAGTTCAGCAAAACCCCGGGATCAACGGTTAGATCATGCTGCGCGAGCGATTGCTTGTGACCAGCTTTCGACTGAGGCCTTACGCCACGCTAGTCGTCCTGCTCGATTTCATATATAGAGTTTTGGACTAGGATCTGCTATTCGTATGGGAAAGAGGATAGAGGGCGCTATCATATTACTATAAGCAAGCTGACGTGCAAAATTTATGGCTTATTGAATAATTCGGTACTACTCTCGAACTGAGGAGCAAGCTAGAATAGTGCTCTTTTAATACACGCCTACTAATACTACTTTTAAGGAGGTACCTGAGACTACCATTTTGTAATCCGGTTGGTATGCATGCAGGGGTCACCAAGCGTGTGAGCCGCATGGACTTGAATACAACCTAGACAGCCACTGCGATCACATTAACTTTAATTCGTCTTTCGCTTGTTATAACTGGCGGGTTTTGAAATTGTGTCACTAATTTTTATCCTCTCTACTCATATGTAAAAAAATTACGTATACCTCGGTTGGCCTATTTTGCCCATTATATATTGATATTTACCAGTCTTTGTATATTCAAACTACAACAGTGAGATGATTAGCGCATGGAGCTAGCAACGTTTTGAAGGAAGCCTGATGCGGCCTACATTTTACGACTCATTAAACGACGATTATTTATGATGTCGGGAATTGCAGTTATCGGACAGTATGTATCGTTTCTGATCTCCTGGTTTTATACGGTTTGTGTGCTTAATTCTATTCACAATGAATGGAGAAGGTTCCTGCTGAAAATTCTGGAATTATACTTTTTAAACAAAGCATATATATATATATA